TCTCTCTCTGGCTCTGGTTTGAGAGGCCCCCTGATGCTGGATTCTTATAGGGGTGAGGGCTGGGGGTGCAGAGAAGTGACTGATCTCCCAGGATGCCTGTGTTCTATGGTCCCTGGAACAAACTACATCATTTAGATGCTGGGGGTTTGTGTGAATCAGGTCCCACATGTGGGCCCATGTGTTGTGATTCTGAAGCTCTCTGTGTGTATTGTGTGTTTCCTCAGAGGTTTCCCTCTTACACAGCGCAAGTCAACTGTGAGCTTTCTAAACACTTGTCATCACCACTGCACACTGGCTATATATTACCTGATTCTTTCCTCAACTCAGCCATTCCTCAGGTTGGGTTAATATTCATTCTCCCCAAATGGAGGTGGTGCTGAGAAAAATGGCCCAAGCTCTTGACCTTGTAAGTGGAAAAGCCAAACTGAGAACCTAGGGGTGGTCCCAGTGTTATGGCTCTGGATCCCTGACCTGCACTTATCACTCAGTCTGGAAATCCTAGTCATGGAGCAAGGGGGTTCCATGCATCTTTGTTTATGCCTGGACATACTAGCACCTTTGGAGTTCCAGACCATGCCCATCCATCATTATAAGGTGGGCTTAGTGGTCATGGAACCCAGGGCAAGCAAAGGTGGATTAACGCCAACTTTGGCACAGATATTAGTGTGAAAGGCACCTCGGGACTCACATCCTCCTGATCAACTCAGATTCTGAGGGTTGTGTGGCTTTGTGCAGACACTGTAGTTCATATCTGCTGGTGCTACTGTCATTGCTTAAACAAGGACAAAAGCAGATTATCATCAGGGAGATATTTTATTACACTGGGTGACGTTACCATAAGCCTTATATTGATTAAACCCTATAGCACACACTCAAGGGAAGGTGCCAAGTAGACCTCACGGTGGAACTTGATAGCTAACTTGATAGCCTAGTGACCATGACTCTTGTTATAAATCTCCTGCACAGCTGGGTCAGAGACAGCATTCACCTCATGGTTTCTCTCCATAATGAACTGACCCAAAAATGTACGAATCCTTTCTGTGAGTGTGGACAGAGACTGATTCAGTGGACATGCAAACATTGTTTTGAAAATGAAGATTGAAAAAAAGTGTCACATGATTGATTATAGCTATAGGAAAGTTAGGGTTAAAATCAGTCCTCTAACAGTGTTTGCTCTTAATGAAGAACAGTCTCATAGAAAACTTGGTAAGTACAATTGTGTAACTGGGGGTCCTCTGGAGGCAGTGATCTAGGAAGAAATCCAGAAGAGCGGAGCAATTTAGCAGAAGGTCTAACCAGGCAGGAGGGTCACGGGTCTCTGCCATTGAAAGCTGGCATGCTTTTTCGTGAGTTTTTTTTTTTTTTTTATCCCCTTTGGTTAGGGTATCGCTAGTTAAATGCAGAAGCTCTGTTTCTTTTTTTCCTGCTCCTCTCTTTTACTCTCCTCCATCCAGGAAAGAGCATTATTTAGCAGTGGCTCAGTCCATAGTTACTAGCCTCCCTTATGCATACACTGCACCACATGTCCCCATTTAAACAAACAAACAAGCAAACAAAATGCTGAGTTATTGGTGAACAGGCTCACCAGTGTCCTGATAGCTACTCTGTGACATTCCAGGTATCCAGGAGGACCTGATTGAGGAACTGCACCAGGCCTGGGCTGAGGAACAGTCTCTGAAAACCCTGAAGGTAAGTTTACCTACCTTTATCTGGGACATGACTGTTGCTTAACTTCATTATTGTTTATTCAGCTGGATATTGTTATAGTGATTTCACAATGTACATTATCACTGATGTATGCAATTCTTTGGATGGTGAAATATTGAGGATAAATCTATTATCAACACAGATCTTACTCAAAAGGACATTAAAAAAAGACAGAATCAGTTACTGCACCAGACAGCATCAGGTACTTTGTTCGGCAGAAGTTTTTCCTTCTTGGAAAATAATTTTGTAATTGTTGGTCAAATTAAACTGAAAGATCTTACATGAAGCAGCCTAACCTTTTCAACAGGGGACCTCTCTGTTTTCTTATGGGGCCATTGACTAAATAGTTTTAGTTATCTGAGGACAAAAATCAGATAACCGAAGACATAGTTCAGAGAACACAAGATGTTGATATACTCCCACTGTTTTCTTCACTCGCAGGCATACAGCGCAGTCTGTGAACACGGTAAGTATTCAGGGATCATCCCTCTGCTGAGGAACAATCTAGCTGATGAAGATGGGGCTCTCTTGTCAGCTCGTTGGAGAGTCACCCTGATGCTGGATTCCTGCAGGGGCTGAGGGCTGGGGGTGCAGAGAAGAGACTGATCTCCTAAGAAAGAACAATGTCTGTGTTTTACAGTCTCTGGAAACAACTACATCCTTTAGATGCTGAGGGTTTGTGTGAATCGGGTTGGGGCCCATATGTGGACCCACGTGGTGTGATTTTGAAGCTCTGTGTGCATGTGTTTCCTCAGGAGATGTTTCCCACTTACACAGCATAAGTCAACTGCAAACTTTCTAAACACTTCTCATCACCACTGCACATTGATCATACATTACCTGATTCTTTCATCAACTCAGTCATTCCTCAAGTTTGGTTAATAGTTATTTTCCTCCAGTGGAGATGGTGTTGAGAAAACAGGCCCAAGGTTTGACCTCCAGTATTGAAAAGCCAAACTGAGACCCTAGGGGTAGTCCCACTGTGACAGCTTTGAGCTCCTGACCTGCATTTTATCACTCAGCCATGTGGTCCTCGTTCATGGAGGCATGCTGTCCCTGCATCTACGTCCATGCCTGGAGGTACTAGCAGCTCCAGAAGTTCAGACCATGCCCATCATTGTCAGATGGGCTTAGTGGTCACAGAACCCAGGACAACCACAGGTGGCTTAACACCAACATTGGCACAGTCATCATTGTGAAAGGCACCCCGGGACTTAGACCTGCCTGATCAACTCACAGATTCGGAGAGTTGTGTGGCCTTGTGTAGACAATGTAGGCCATATCTGTTGGTCCCTCTGTCATTGCTTAAACAAGGTCAAGAAGAGATGAGCATCAGGGAGATATTTCACTGTACTGGGGGCAGTACCATAAGACTTACACTGATTAAACCTGGCAGCACACACTCAAGGGAAGGTGTCAAATGGGTTCACAGTGGGACTTGGGAGTTAGCCTCGTGACCATGACACTGGCTGTAAGTCTCTGCACACCTGGGTCTGAGAAGTTCCCCCATGATTTCACTTCACAATAAACTGTCCCACCAAATGTATGACTTCTGTGAGTGTGAACAGCCACTAACTCTGTGGACATGCAAATATTTTTTTGGAAAATGAAGATTTGGGAAAATGAAGACTGGGAAAAAGACTGGGGATTGATAATAGCTATTTGGCAAGGTAGAACTGAATTCAGTCCTCTAACAGAGCTTGCTTTTAATCAAGAACAAAATCTCATAGAAAACTTAGTAAGTACAATAGCTATAACCTGAATCCTGGGGAGGCAGTGATCTAGGAATAAACCCAGAAGAGAGGGATGATTTAGCAGAAGCTCTGAATAGGCAGGAGAATCACAGGCCTCTGTCATTGAAAACTACCATGCATTTTACTGTTTCTTTTTTCCTCCTGGGTTAGAGTATCACTAGATAAAAGACATAAGCTCCATTTCATTTCTTGCCTGTTCCTCTCCTTGGCTCTCTTTCCTTCAGCAAAGAGGATGATTCAACAGCAACTCAGCCCATAGATCCTAACCTTCCTTAGGCATACACTGCACTCGATGTCCCCATCAAACAAAAACAAACAAAAAACACTGAGAGATTGGTGCGCAGCCTCACCTGAGTCCTGATGGCTATTCTTTGTCCCTCTAGCTTCCCAGCAGGTCGTGGTGGTGGAAGTGCACCGGGCCTGGGATGAGGAAGAGTCTCCGAGGATCCCGAAGGTAACCACAACTGTCTTTATCTCAGAGAAGCCTGCTTCTTCACTTCTTAAATTTTTATTCAATGGAATGCAGTTATAGTAATTTGACAATGTACATTATCACTAATGTATACAGTTCCTTGGCTGGATAAATATTGAGAAAAATGTTTTCTAAAAACAGATGCGATTCAGAAGGGCATTAAAAAAAGACAGCATCAGTTACTACTGTACGTATTTTTTTCAGTAGAAATTTTCCTCCTTGAAAAATACTTTTGTAACTCTTGGTCACATTCAAATTGAGAGCTCTTTTCTGAAACCAACTTTCCGTCAGAACACTCTCTATTGTACTTTGGAGTCACTAGAATAAAGAGTTTTATTTTATTTATTTATAAATAAATATTTATATTTTTATTTATCTGAGGAGACAAACCACATGACAGAAAACATAGTGCAGGAGCTTCAAGATGCTAACACCTCACTCTGTTTCCTTCTCTCCACTCACAGCAATTCTGGGACGCCATTAAACACGGTAAATATTCAGGGATCAACACTCTGCTGAGGAACAATCCATCGGATAAAGCTGGGGTTTTCTGACTGGCTCTGGTTGGAGAGTGGCCCTGATGCTGGATCCCCACTTGGGGTGCGGGCTGGAGGTGCATGGAAGAGACTGATCTCCCAGGATAGAATAATGTCTTTATTCTATGGTACCTGGAAGCAACTACATCATTTAGATGCTGTGGGTTTGTGTGAATCGGGCTTGGGGGCCCATGTGTGGGCCCAGTGGTGTGATTCCGATGCTCTGTGTCTGTGTGTGTTTCCTCAGGAGATATTTCCCTCTTACACAACACAAGTCACCTGTGAACGTTCTAAACACTTCTTATCACCACTGCACACTGACTATACATTACTTGATTCTTTCCTCAGCTCAGCCATTCCTCATGTTTGGTTAATATTCATTTTCCTCAAGTGAAGAAGGTGCTGAGGACAATGGCCCAAGCTGTTGACAATTCTATGTTGAAAAGCCAAACTGAGAACCTAGGGGTGTTCCCAGTGTGACTGCTCTGGACCCCGGACCTTCACTTATCACTCAGCGTTGAAATCCTGGTCATGGAGCAAGGGCTCGCTGCATCTGTGCTTTTGCCTGGAGGTACTAGATCTCCAGAGATCCAGACCGTGTACATCATTGCAAGATGCTCTCAGTGGTCAAGGAACCCAGGGCAAATATAAGCAGATTATCACCAACTTTGGCACAGTCATTATCGTCAAAGGCACCTAGGGACTGACACCCTCCTGGTCAGTTCACAGAACTGGGAGTTGTATGCCCTGGTTTAGACAGGACAGGCCAAATCTGTTCGTGCTAGTGTCATTGCTTAACCAAGGACAAAAGCAGATTACTATAAGGGAGATATTTAATTGTACTGGGTGACAACACCATAAGCCTTAGGTCGGTTCAAGCCTACAGCACACTCTCAAGGGCAGGTGTCAAATAGATCTCATGGTGGAACTTGACAGTCTGCTTGGTGACTCGACTCTAGTAAACCTCCTGCATACCTGAGTCCAAGAAAGTCAGCGTTTGCCCCAGGCGTCCTCTCCATAGTGAACTGTCCCACTCAATGTATGGCTTCTCTGAGTGTCAGCAGACACTCATTCAGGGACGCGCAAATGTTGGTTGGACAATTAAGACTGGCAAGAAACATTACCTGAGTGATTCTAGCCTAATATCTCTTTGGCAAGTTAGAATTGAATTCAGTCCTCTAGCAGAGACTGCTTTTCATCAAGAACAAAATCTCTCCGAAAACTCAGTAAGTACAATGGCTGTAACTGAATCCTGGGGAGGCAGTGATCTAGGAAGAAATCCTTCTGGATAGGTGTTGTTTTGCAGAAGACGTAAGCATGCAGGAGGTTCATGAGTCTCTGTCATTGAAAGGTGGCATGAATTTTAGTGTTTCCTATTTTCCGATCTGTGAGGTAATCACTAGTTAAAATGCAGAGGTTCTCTTTCACTATTTCCTGCTCCTCCAATTTGCTCTTATTTATGCAACAAAGAGGATGATTCAACAGCCACTCAGTCCCAAGTTACTAATGCCTTAAGCATACAGTCCACCCCATGCCCCCGCCCCCCAAGAAAGCTTCCTGAGTGGTTAGTGACCAGCTTCTCCTGTTCACCAATGTCTCTTCCTTGTCCCTCTAGCTCCCCAGGCGGATCTGGAAGAGGAAATATGCCACGACTTGACCGAGGTAAAGGCTCTGAGTACTGTAAGTGTACCTGCACCTTTCTTTATCTGTGATAAGATTGTTGCTTCACTTTATTAATTATTCAGACAAATAAAGTTATAGTCATCTGACAATTTACATTCCCACTGAGGCCTGTAATTCCTTGGCTGGGAAAAGAGTGCGGATAAATCTATTATCAATACAGACCTATTTCACAAGGACATTAAAAAAAGCATCATTTGCTACTGTAGGTACTTTGGTCAGCATAAAGTTCTCTTTCTTGTTTTTAATGTTTTCTGTTTTTCTTTCAAAGTTCAATTTCTTGAAAAGCAATTTGTTATTGTTGGACACATTGAAATTGAGAGATCTTTTGTGAAACAGACTTTCCGCCAGTACAATCTCTGTTTTACTTTGGAGTCACTGGAAAAAAGAGTTTTAGTTATCTGAGGAGACAAACCACATGACAGAATACTTAGTGCAGGAGGTTGAAGATGCTGACACCTCACTCTGTTTCCTTCTCTCCAGTCACAGGAATTCGGGGACGCCAGTGAACATGGTAAATATTCAGGGATCAACACTCTGCTGAGGTACAATCCATCGGATAAAGCTGGGGTTTTCTGACTGGCTCTGGTTGGAGAGTGGCGCTGAGGCTGGATCCCTACTTGGGGTGCGGGCTGGAGGTGCATGGAAGAGACTGATCTCCCAGGATAGAATAATATCTTTATTCTATGGTACCTGGAAGCAGCTGCATCATTTAGATGCTGTTGGTTTGTGTGAATCGGGCTTGGGGGCCCATGTGTGGGCCGAGTGGTGTGATTCTGATGCTCTGTGTCTGTGTGTGTTTCCTCAGGAGATGTTTCCCTCTTACACAGCACAAGTCACCTGTGAACTTTCTAAACACTTCTTATCACCACTGCACACTGACTATACATTACTTGATTCTTTCCTCAGCTCAGCCATTCCTCATGTTTGGTTAATATTCATTTTCCTCAATTGAAGAAGGTGCTGAGGACAATGGCCCAAGCTGTTGACAATTCTATGTTGAAAAGCCAAACTGAGAACCTAGGCGTGTTCCCAGTGTGACTGCTCTGGACCCCTGACCTTCACTTATCACTCAGCGTTGAAATCCTGGTCATGGGGCAAGGGCTGGCTGCATCTCTGCTTTTGCCTGGAGGTACTAGAGCTCCAGAGATCCAGACGGTGTACATCATCGCAAGACGGTCTCAGTGGTCAAGGAACCCAGGGCAAACATAAGCAGATTATCACCAACCTTGGCACAGTCATTATCGTCAAAGGCACCTAGGGACTGACATCCTCCTGGTCAGTTCACAGAACTGGGAGTTGTATGCCCTGGTTTAGACAGGACAGGCCAAATCTGTTCGTGCTAGTGTCATTGCTTAACCAAGGAGAAAAGCAGATTACCATCAGGGAGATATTTCATTGTACTGGGTGACAACACCATAAGCCTTAGGTCAGTTCAAGCCTACAGCACACTCTCAAGGGCAGGTGTCAAATAGATCTCATGGTGGAGCTTGACAGTCTGTTTGGTGACTTAACTCTAGTAAACCTCGTACATACCTGAGTCCAAGAAAGTCAACGTTTGCCCCAGGCTTTCTCTCCATCGTGAACTGTCCCACTCAATGTATGGCTTCTCTGAGTGTCAGCAGACACTCATTCAGGGACGCGCAAATGTTGGTTGGACAAGTAAGACTGGCAAGAAACATTACCTGAGTGATTCTAGCCTAATAGCTCTCTGGCAAGTTAGAATTGAATTCAGTCCTCTAGCAGAGACTGCTTTTCATCAAGAACAAAATCTCTCCGAAAACTCAGTAAGTGCAATGGCTGTAACTGAATCCTGAGGAGGCAGTGATCTAGGAAGAAATCCTTCTGGATAGGTGTTGTTTTGCAGAAGACGTAAGCATGCAGGAGGTTCATGAGTCTCTGTCATTGAAAGGTGGCATGCATTTTAGTGTTTCCTATTTTCCGATCTGTGAGGTAATCACTAGTTAAAATGCAGAGGTTCTCTTTCACTATTTCCTGCTCCTCCAATTTGCTCTTATTTATGCAACAAAGAGGATGATTCAACAGCCACTCAGTCCCAAGTTACTAACGCCTTAAGCATACAGTCCACCCCATGCCCCCGCCCCCCAAGAAAGCTTCCTGAGTGGTTAGTGACCAGCTTCTCCTGTTCACCAATGTCTCTTCCTTGTCCCTCTAGCTCCCCAGGCGGATCTGGAAGAGGAAATATGCCACGACTTGACCGAGGTAAAGGCTCTGAGTACTGTAAGTGTACCTGCACCTTTCTTTATCTGTGATAAGATTGTTGCTTCACTTTATTAATTATTCAGACAAATAAAGTTATAGTCATCTGACAATTTACATTCCCACTGAGGCCTGTAATTCCTTGGCTGGGAAAAGAGTGCGGATAAATCTATTATCAACACAGACCTATTTCACAAGGACATTAAAAAAAGCATCATTTGCTACTGTAGGTACTTTGGTCAGCATAAAGTTCTCTTTCTTGTTTTTAATGTTTTCTGTTTTTCTTTCAAAGTTCAATTTCTTGAAAAGCAATTTGTTATTGTTGGACACATTGAAATTGAGAGATCTTTTGTGAAACAGACTTTCCGCCAGTACACTCTCTGTTTTACTTTGGAGTCACTGGAAAAAAGAGTTTTAGTTATCTGAGGAGACAAACCACATGACAGAATACTTAGTGCAGGAGGTTGAAGATGCTGACACCTCACTCTGTTTCCTTCTCTCCAGTCACAGGAATTCGGGGACGCCAGTGAACATGGTAAATATTCAGGGATCAACACTCTGCTGAGGTACAATCCATCGGATAAAGCTGGGGTTTTCTGACTGGCTCTGGTTGGAGAGTGGCGCTGAGGCTGGATCCCTACTTGGGGTGCGGGCTGGAGGTGCATGGAAGAGACTGATCTCCCAGGATAGAATAATATCTTTATTCTATGGTACCTGGAAGCAGCTGCATCATTTAGATGCTGTTGGTTTGTGTGAATCGGGCTTGGGGGCCCATGTGTGGGCCGAGTGGTGTGATTCTGATGCTCTGTGTCTGTGTGTGTTTCCTCAGGAGATGTTTCCCTCTTACACAGCACAAGTCACCTGTGAACTTTCTAAACACTTCTTATGACCACTGCACACTGACTATACATTACTTGATTCTTTCCTCAGCTCACCCTTTCCTCATGTTTGGTTAATATTCATTTTCCTCAATTGAAGAAGGTGCTGAGGACAATGGCCCAAGCTGTTGACAATTCTATGTTGAAAAGCCAAACTGAGAACCTAGGCGTGTTCCCAGTGTGACTGCTCTGGACCCCTGACCTTCACTTATCACTCAGCGTTGAAATCCTGGTCATGGGGCAAGGGCTGGCTGCATCTCTGCTTTTGCCTGGAGGTACTAGAGCTCCAGAGATCCAGACGGTGTACATCATCGCAAGACGGTCTCAGTGGTCAAGGAACCCAGGGCAAACATAAGCAGATTATCACCAACCTTGGCACAGTCATTATCGTCAAAGGCACCTAGGGACTGACATCCTCCTGGTCAGTTCACAGAACTGGGAGTTGTATGCCCTGGTTTAGACAGGACAGGCCAAATCTGTTCGTGCTAGTGTCATTGCTTAACCAAGGAGAAAAGCAGATTACCATCAGGGAGATATTTCATTGTACTGGGTGACAACACCATAAGCCTTAGGTCAGTTCAAGCCTACAGCACACTCTCAAGGGCAGGTGTCAAATAGATCTCATGGTGGAGCTTGACAGTCTGTTTGGTGACTTAACTCTAGTAAACCTCGTACATACCTGAGTCCAAGAAAGTCAACGTTTGCCCCAGGCTTTCTCTCCATCGTGAACTGTCCCACTCAATGTATGGCTTCTCTGAGTGTCAGCAGACACTCATTCAGGGACGCGCAAATGTTGGTTGGACAAGTAAGACTGGCAAGAAACATTACCTGAGTGATTCTAGCCTAATAGCTCTCTGGCAAGTTAGAATTGAATTCAGTCCTCTAGCAGAGACTGCTTTTCATCAAGAACAAAATCTCTCCGAAAACTCAGTAAGTGCAATGGCTGTAACTGAATCCTGGGGAGGCAGTGATCTAGGAAGAAATCCTTCTGGATAGGTGTTGTTTTGCAGAAGACGTAAGCATGCAGGAGGTTCATGAGTCTCTGTCATTGAAAGGTGGCATGCATTTTAGTGTTTCCTATTTTCCGATCTGTGAGGTAATCACTAGTTAAAATGCAGAGGTTCTCTTTCACTATTTCCTGCTCCTCCAATTTGCTCTTATTTATGCAACAAAGAGGATGATTCAACAGCCACTCAGTCCCAAGTTACTAACGCCTTAAGCATACAGTCCACCCCATGCCCCCGCCCCCCAAGAAAGCTTCCTGAGTGGTTAGTGACCAGCTTCTCCTGTTCACCAATGTCTCTTCCTTGTCCCTCTAGCTCCCCAGGCGGATCTGGAAGAGGAAACATGCCACGACTTGACCGAGGTAAAGGCTCTGAGTACTGTGAGTGTACCTGCACCTTTCTTTATCTGTGATAAGATTGTTGCTTCACTTTATTTGTTATTCAGACAAATACAGTGATAGTCATCTGACAATTTACATTCCCACTGAGGCCTGTAATTCCTTGGCTGGGAAAAGAGTGCGGATAAATCTATTATCAACACAGACCTATTTCACAAGGACATTAAAAAAAGACAGCATCATTTACTACTGTAGCTACTTTGCTCAGCATAAAGTTCTCTTTCTTTTTTTAAATGTTTTCTGTTTTTCTTTCAAAGTTCAATTTCTTGAAAAGCAATGTGTTATTGTTGGACACATTGAAATGGAGAGATCTTTTGTGAAACAGACTTTCCGCCAGGACACTCTCTGTTGTACTTTGGAGTCACTGGAATAAAGAGTTTTAGTTATCTGAGGAGACAAACCACATGACAGAATACTTAGTGCAGGAGGTTGAAGATGCTGACACCTCACTCTGTTTCCTTCTCTCCAGTCACAGGAATTCGGGGACGCGAGTGAACACGGTAAATATTCAGGGATCAACACTCTGCTGAGGTACAATCCATCGGATAAAGCTGGGGTTTTCTGACTGGCTCTGGTTGGAGAGTGGCCCTGATGCTGGATCCCTACTTGGGGTGCGGGCTGGAGGTGCATGGAAGAGACTGATCTCCCAGGATAGAATAATGTCTTTATTCTATGGTACCTGGAAGCAGCTGCATCATTTAGATGCTGTGGGTTTGTGTGAATCGGGCTTGGGGGCCCATGTGTGGGCCCAGTGGTGTGATTCTGATGCTCTGTGTCTGTGTGTGTTTCCTCAGGAGATGTTTCCCTCTTACACAGCACAAGTCACCTGTGAACTTTCTAAACACTTCTTATCACCACTGCACACTGACTATACATTACTTGATTCATTCCTCAGCTCAGCCATTCCTCATGTTTGGTTAATATTCATTTTCCTCAATTGAAGAAGGTGCTGAATACAATGGCCCAAGCTGTTGACAATTCTATGTTGAAAAGCCAAACTGAGAACCTAGGGGTGTTCCCAGTGTGACTGCTCTGGACCCCTGACCTTCACTTATCACTCAGCGTTGAAATCCTGGTTATGGGGCAAGGGCTGGCTGCATCTGTGCTTTTGCCTGGAGGTACTAGAGCTCCAGAGATCCAGACGGTGTACATCATCGCAAGACGGTCTCAGTGGTCAAGGAACCCAGGGCAAATATAAGCAGATTATCACCAACTTTGGCACAGTCATTATCGTCAAAGGCACCTAGGGACTGACATCCTCCTGGTCAGTTCACAGAACTGGCAGTTGTATGCCCTGGTTTAGACAGGACAGGCCAAATCTGTTCCTGCTAGTGTCATTGCTTAACCAAGGAGAAAAGCAGATTACCATCAGGGAGATATTTCATTGTACTGGGTGACAACACCATAAGCCTTAGGTCGGTTCAAGCCTACAGCACACTCTCAAGGGCAGGTGTCAAATAGATCTCATGGTGGAACTTGACAGTCTGCTTGGTGACTCGACTCTAGTAAACCGCCTGCATACCTGAGTCCAAGAAAGTCAGCGTTTGCCCCAGGCGTCCTCTCCATAGTGAACTGTCCCACTCAATGTATGGCTTCTCTGAGTGTCAGCAGACACTCATTCAGGGACGCGCAAATGTTGGTTGGACAATTAAGACTGGCAAGAAACATTACCTGAGTGATTCTAGCCTAATATCTCTTTGGCAAGTTAGAATTGAATTCAGTCCTCTAGCAGAGACTGCTTTTCATCAAGAACAAAATCTCTCTGAAAACTCAGTAAGTGCAATGGCTGTAACTGAATCCTGGGGAGGCAGTGATCTAGGAAGAAATCCTTCTGGATAGGTGTTGTTTTGCAGAAGATGTAAACATGCAGGAGGTTCATGAGTCTCTGTCATTGAAAGGTGGCATGCATTTTAGTGTTTATTTTCTGATCTCTGAGGTTATCACTAGTTAAAATGGAGAGGTTCTCTTACATTATTTCCTGCTCCTCCAATTTGCTCTTATTTATGCAACAGAGAGTATGATTCAACAGCCACTCAATCCCAAGTTACTAATGCCTTAAGCATACAGTCCACCCCATGCCCCCGCCCCCCAAGAAAGCTTCCTGAGTGGTTAGTGACCAGCTTCTCCTGTTCACCAATATCTCTTCCTTGTCCCTCTAGCTCCCCAGGCGGATCTGGAAGAGGAAACATGCCACGACTTGACCGAGGTAAAGGCTCTGAGTACTGTAAGTGTACCTGCACCTTTCTTTATCTGTGATAAGATTGTTGCTTCACTTTATTTCTTATTCAGACAAATACAGTTATAGTCATCTGACAATTTACATTCCCACTGAGGCATGTAATTGCTTGGCTGGGAAAAGTGTGAGGATAAATCTATTATCAACACAGACCTATTTCACAAGGACATTAAAAAAAGACAGCATCATTTACTACTGTAGGTACTTTGGTCAGCATAAAGTTCTCTTTCTTTTTTTAAATGTTTTCTGTTTTTCTTTCAAAGTTCAATTTCTTGAAAAGCAATTTGTTATTGTTGGACACATTGAAATTGAGAGATCTTTTGTGAAACAGACTTTCCGCCAGTACACTCTCTGTTTTACTTTGAAGTCATTGGAAAAAAGAGTTTTAGTTATCTGAGGAGACAAACCACATGACAGAATACTTAGTGCAGGTGGTGGAAGATGCTGAAACCTCACTCTGTTTCCTTCTCTCCAGTCACAGGAATTCGGGGATGCGAGTGAACATGGTAAATATTCAGGGATCAACACTCTGCTGAGGTACAATCCATCGGATAAAGCTGGGGTTTTCTGACTGGCTCTGGTTGGAGAGTGGCCCTGATGCTGGATCCCTACTTGGGGTGCGGGCTGGAGGTGCATGGAAGAGACTGATCTCCCAGGATAGAATAATGTCTTTATTCTATGGTACCTGGAAGCAGCTGCATCATTTAGATGCTGTGGGTTTGTGTGAATCGGGCTTGGGGGCCCATGTGTGGGCCGAGTGGTGTGATTCTGATGCTCTGTGTCTGTGTGTGTTTCCTCAGGAGATGTTTCCCTCTTACACAGCACAAGTCACCTGTGAACTTTCTAAACACTTCTTATCACCACTGCACACTGACTATACATTACTTGATTCATTCCTCAGCTCAGCCATTCCTCATGTTTGGTTAATATTCATTTTCCTCAATTGAAGAAGGTGCTGAATACAATGGCCCAAGCTGTTGACAATTCTATGTTGAAAAGCCAAACTGAGAACCTAGGGGTGTTCCCAGTGTGACTGCTCTGGACCCCTGACCTTCACTTATCACTCAGCGTTGAAATCCTGGTCATGGGGCAAGGTCTGGCTGCATCTGTGCTTTTGCCTGGAGGTACTAGAGCTCCAGAGATCCAGACCGTGTACATCATCGCAAGACGGTCTCAGTGGTCAAGGAACCCAGGGCAAACATAAGCAGATTATCACCAACTTTGGCACAGTCATTATCGTCAAAGGCACCTAGGGACTGACATCCTCCTGGTCAGTTCACAGAACTGGGAGTTGTATGCCCTGGTTTAGACAGGACAGGCCAAATCTGTTCCTGCTAGTGTCATTGCTTAACCAAGGAGAAAAGCAGATTACCATCAGGGAGATATTTCATTGTACTGGGTGACAACACCATAAGCCTTAGGTCAGTTCAAGCCTACAGCACACTCTCAAGGGCAGGTGTCAAATAGATCTCATGGTGGAGCTTGACAGTCTGTTTGGTGACTTAACTCTAGTAAACCTCGTACATACCTGAGTCCAAGAAAGTCAACGTTTGCCCCAGGCTTTCTCTCCATCGTGAACTGTCCCACTCAATGTATGGCTTCTCTGAGTGTCAGCAGACACTCATTCAGGGACGCGCAAATGTTGGTTGGACAAGTAAGACTGGCAAGAAACATTACCTGAGTGATTCTAGCCTAATAGCTCTCTGGCAAGTTAGAATTGAATTCAGTCCTCTAGCAGAGACTGCTTTTCATCAAGAACAAAATCTCTCCGAAAACTCAGTAAGTGCAATGGCTGTAACTGAATCCTGGGGAGGCAGTGATCTAGGAAGAAATCCTCTGGATAAGTGTTGTTTTGCAGAATACGTAAACATGCAGGAGGTTCATGAGTCTCTTTCATTGAAAGGTTGCATGCATTTTAGTGTTTCTTATTTTCCGATCTGTGAGGTAATCACTAGTTAAAATGCAGAGGTTCTCTTTCACTATTTCCTGCTCCTCCAATTTGCTCTTATTTATGCAACAAAGAGGATGATTCAACAGCCACTCAGTCCCAAGTTACTAATGCCTTAAGCATACAGTCCACCCCATGCCCCCGCCCCCCAAGAAAGATTCCTGAGTGGTTAGTGACCAGCTTCTCCTGTTCACCAATGTCTCTTCCTTGTCCCTCTAGCTCCCCAGGCGGATCTGGAAGAGGAAATATGCCACGACTTGACCGAGGTAAAGGCTCTGAGTTCTGTGAGTGTACCTGCACCTTTCTTTATCTGTGATAAGATTGTTGCTTCACTTTATTTGTTATTCAGACAAATACAGTTATAGTCATCTGACAATTTGCATTCCCACTGAGGCATGTAATTCCTTGGCTGGGAAAAGAGTGAGGAGAAATCTATTATCAACACAGACCTATTTCACAAGGACATTAAAAAAAGACAGCATCATTTACTACTGTAGGTACTTTGGTCAGCATAAAGTTCTCTTTCTTTTTTTGAATGTTTTCTGTTTTTCTTTCAAAATTCTCTTTCTTGAAAAGCAATGTGTTATTGTTGGACACATTGAAATTGAGAGATCTTTTGTGAAACAGACTTTCCGCCAGGACACTCTCTGTTGTACTTTGGAGTCAGTGGAATAAAGAGTTTTAGTTATCTGAGGAGACAAACCACATGACAGAATACTTAGTGCAGGAGGTTGAAGTTGCTGACACTTCACTCTGTTTCCTTCTCTCCAATCACAGGAATTCTGGGATGCAAGTGAACACGGTAAATATTCAGGGATCAACACTCTGCTGAGGTACAATCCATCTGATAAAGCTGGGGTTTTCTGACTGGCTCTGGTTGGAGAGTGGCCCTGATGCTGGATCCCTACTTGGGGTGCGGGCTGGAGGTGCATGGAAGAGACTGATCTCCCAGGATAGAATAATGTCTTTATTCTATGGTACCTGGAAGCAACTACATCATTTAGATGCTGTGGGTTTGTGTGAATCGGGCATGGGGGCCCATGTGTGGGCCCAGTGGTGTGATTCTGATGCTCTGTGTCTGTGTGTGTTTCCTCAGGAGATGTTTTCCTCCTACAAAGCACAAGTCACCTGTGAACTTTCTAAACACTTCTTATCACCACTGCCCACTGACTATACATTACTTGATTCTTTCCTCAACTCAGCCATTCCTCATGTTTGGTTAATATTCATTTTCCTCAAGTGAAGAAGGTGCTGAGGACAATGGCCCAAGCTGTTGACAATTCTATGTTGAAAAGCCAAACTGAGAACCTAGGCGTGTTCCTAGTGTGACTGCTCTGGACCCCTGACCTTCACTTATCACTCAGCGTTGAAATCCTAGACATGGGGCAAGGGCTCCCTGCATCTGTGCTTTTGCCTGGAGGTTCTAGAGCTCCAGAGATCCAGACCGTGTACATCATTGCAAGATGGTCTCAGTGGTCAAGGAACCCAGGGCAAACATAAGGAGATTATCACCAACTTTGGCACAGTCATTATTGTCAAAGCACCTAGGGACTGACAACCTCCTGGTCAGTTCACAGAACTGGGAGTTGTATGCCCTGGTTTAGACAGGACAGGCCTAATCTGTTCGTGCTAGTGTCACTGCTTAACCAAGGACAAAAGCAGATTACCATCAGGGAGGTATTTCATTATACTGGGTTACAACACCATAAGCCTTAGGTCGGTTCAACCCTGCAGCACACTCTCAAGGGAAGGTGTCAAATAGATCTCATGGTTGAACTTGACAGTCTGCTTGTTGACTCGACTCTAGTAAACCTCGTACATACCTGAGTCCAGGAAATTCAACGTTTACCCCATGCTTCTTCTCCATAGTGAACTGTCCCACTCAATGTATGGCTTCTCTGAGTGTCAGCAGACACTCATTCAGGGACGCGCAAATATTGGTTGGACAATTAATACTGGCAAGAAACGTTACCTGAGTGGTCCTAGCTTAATAGCTATTTGGCAAGTTAGAATTGAATTCTCTCCTCTAGCAGAGACTGCTTTTCATCAAGAACAAAGTCTCTCAGGAAACTCAGTAAGTGCAATAGCTGTAACTGAATCCTGGGGAGGCAGTGATCTAGGAAGAAATCCTTCTGGATAGGTGTTGTTTTGCAGAAGATGTAAACACGCAGGAGGTTCCTGAGTCTCTGTCATTGAAAGGTGGCATGCATTTTCCTTTTAATTTTTTTCCGATCTGTTAGGTTATAACTAGTTAAAATGCAGAGGTTCTCTTTCACTATCTCCTGCTCCACCGATGTGCTCTTATTTATGCAACAAAGAGGATGATTCAACAGGCTCTCAGTCCCCAGTTACTAATTCCTTTACCATACAGTCCAGCCCAGGCCCCGCCCCCCAAGAAAGTTTCCTGAGTGATTGATGAGCAGCTTCTCCTGTGCGCCAATGTCTCTTCCTTGTCCCTCTAGCTCCCTGGGAGAATCTGGAAGAGGCAACATTCCACGACTTGACTGAGGTAAAGGCTCTGAGTACTGTGAATGTAACTGCACCTTTCTTTATCTGTGATAAGATTGTTGCTTCACTTTATATGTTATTCAGACAAATACAGTTATAGTCATCTGATAATTTGCATTCCCACTGAGGCATGTAATTCCTTGGCTGGGAAAAGAGTGAGGATAAATCTATTATCAACACAGACCTATTTCACAAGGACATTAAAAAAAGCATCATTTACTACTGTAGGTACTTTGGTCAGCATAAAGTTCTCTTTCTTGTTTTTAATGTTTTCTGTTTTTCTTTCAAAGTTCAATTTCTTGAAAAGCAATGTGTTATTGTTGGACACATTGAAATTGAGAGATCTTTTGTGAAACAGACTTTCCGCCAGGACACTCTCTGTTGTACTTTGGAGTCACTGGAATAAAGAGTTTTAGTTATCTGAGGAGACAAACCACATGACAGAATACTTAGTGCAAGAGATTGAAGATGCTGACACCTCACTCTGTTTCCTTCTCTCCAGTCACAGGAATTC